TCATCGATCTATGCATATTCGTTCACTCGAATCAGGCAATCAGTAAAATATCAAAATCTCAAATGGCCCTGATAAGCCTGATTTACTCCCCAATTGAGATTACCAATGGCTCAATGGCTGAAAGGTTGGGTATTATTTGATCGACTCATTTTTATTCTTTCAAAAATAATATTTATTGCTTTTTTTCCGCAAAGTAACGCCTGATTCAATTAATTACCAAACATATTTGATCAACAATTAAAAAATGATTGTTTTTTTCACAACATTCGTTTCATTACCAAAATCGTCATAGGTAGAAGGACCCTAGTGCATTCGTTCAATGACACGCTTGTACTTCGTGGGTCGCGCGGCGGGCAAAACAATCTCTACTCTCTGTGTGCGTTCATAAGGTTTTTTTTAGTATACTTACCGTTTGTAGCGTAATTTACATTAGCTTAAATATGTTTAGGTTTAAAAAAATTATAGATACATTTTTTCATTCTCTGATTTTTCGGTTATTAAATTTTGTCGTTAATATGCTAAATCGCGTTAATAATTTTAATAAGTAATCATGTGGATATGTTTTTTGCGCACGCTGCAGCATTGGTGAAAGTTTGTCGAGATGATTTAGAACCCAGTCTTGGTAATGAATTGGTTCAATTTGCATCTTTGATCGACTCATACAATGAGGACTACTGAAAAGACCAATCTCCGGAACTATTTAACTAACCAAATTCTCGAAGATCAAAATTTCAGAGTTACGTTTCCAAAGCTTGAAATTGCATTGAGAATATATTTGATTTTGATGGTATCAAATTGCACTGGGGAGCGCTCATTATCAAAAATTAAAATTATAATCGGTAGGCTTCGAACCCCGAACGCGGGAACACCTTGTCCGTACGCGTCTATGTAAAACTTTCTCTCTAAGCGAGGGCGAACTAGTAATTTACTTGGGTACTGTATTTAGCGATTCAATTTGCATCATCGACTCTTTTCGGACGCAAAAAGACCAAGGTTCCTTTCGTTAACTATTTAAATTAAATTTTCGAAACAAAAATACGTTTCCATACTTGAAATTGTTTAAGAATAAATTATTTGTGATGGAAAACTCGAAAATTTCATTTTATTTTATCAAAAATTAAAATTTGGGCGGAGGGGCCCACACTGGGCTTTGTTGTCCGTCCGTCTATGAAACTGAATCCGGCCCTTTGCGAAATGGAATCGAATCTGTATTCCAGCGAAATCTTCAACGACTTGGGTCGTTAAAAAGCACCGGGAGCTTCGCAACGATGCTAAACCGGTTTACGAACAATGCGAACACTTGGTTTAACAATAAAGGGCCCACGTATGCGCGGAGGTCTCTGGCACGCGTTAAATCATGCGCCGTTCCGACATTCGGACGTAACGGTAAGAGTAAAAAATATAAACAACGCGTAAAGCTGGCTAACGTTGACTGGTAGAAAATGCTCTCAGCATTAAGTCTTTATGTATTAATGTACTGTGTTTTGTGCATGAAGTTTAAAAATAAAGCGAAGACGAAAGATTGTTCGATGTTTACTTGCTTTTTTTCATACGCGATACCGCAAGTGATCAATGATGGATCTTACTAAAGTAGTCGATCTATCTTTGAATGTGAAATTTAGGATGACTGAGCTACTCGTTGCATCGTTAAAATTTTACTAGTTACCTACACTACTAGATTTCAACTGTATGCTCGTTTACGAAACATAAAGTAGGACTTGCCGGAGACCGGCCAATTAGTGCAAAAGCAGAGACTAAAGTTAAACTGCTGACGTAAAGTTTACTGAAACGTGAACAGGATCAGCTGTCTCGAATACATGCAGGAATATCAGCGGGAATGTGTATTAATACATGCACGAATGCGTACTTTTTTTTTAAATATCAAACGTTTTCCTCCATTTAATTCTCACCGGTCAGCTATAAGCTACGTACAAACAATGCAATCAACCGTATTTGCAAGATCCTTACTTAATATTATAAAGGCGAAAGTTTGTATGTATGGATGGATGTTTGTTACTCTTTCACGCAAATACTACTGAATGGATTTTAATGAAACTTTACAATAATATAGCTTATACATCAGAATAGGACATAGGCTATAATTTATGTAATAGGACATAGGCTGTCTTTCTGTCTGAATGTTCCGCCTTCAGCCTATTCTACGCAGACGTAGTCGCGGGCAGCAGCTAGTAAGCATATAAAGCAAAACCATTACTTGGAAATATTTTTTAATTAGTTCAAAAATATATTTTAGAGATATGTGAAGTCCACCAATCAAATTTATTATACACTGACAGTGCGGATTGGCAGACATTTATTTAATATTAGACATTTTTATATTCTATTCTTTATTTAGGAGTTCCTTAACTTTTCTAGAGGAGGACTTTGACAAGCAACGTCGTTAATTTTATTAATTCGGCGTACGATTATTTTAACAACAAACGACGCAAAATATTTGGGCAAAAAACATGACATGAATTAATCATACGGCTAGGGAGAGATAAGTTATCGAATTTAAGGGACGAATATCATATTCAAGTTTTCAAATACCTATTCCCGTCAATGAATTTAAATAAAAGGTATTCGAAATATGCAAAATAAGAACGAGACAACCAGAAACGTGTAAAAAGACCACGCGCCACCCGGCGCACGCCGACCCTAAGCGGAATGAAGTTTAAAAAGAAAATAAAACAAGCATTTTTATTTTTTTTTAAATCACTTTAAATATCTCAATGTACATTTTCTATTTGACCTTGATGTATTTGATATTTTATATGTAATTTTGAAAAAGCTACCTTAAGGGAAAGGGCCTATTATAATGTCGAGGAATGCATTGAGGTTAAGGATGTGTGGAAATGACTATTGCTCTGCACGTCACGTTGCAAGTCCCCTGGCTCCAGCTAATTTTATACTTAATACTTTTGTGTATATAGGTACTTAAATAGTTAAAAAAAATTGACCGCAGAGTTTCTTGCCAGTTCTTCTCTGGCAGTGAACCGGTGATAGTTTTTGACGTTCAATAAGAGTATAACTTGGCTACGTATGAAATTTTTTTCATATTCTTAACGCCATCTATCGACTCATTCCAATAATGTATGCATAAAAGTAAATTAGTCATTAGTTCGTTGACATGATAACAGGTGGCGTTGTATTCACTGTGAAATAAGTTACTTTTTTTGGTCAATGTCATTATATCGGTTATTAGGGATGGGTTATACTTGCTAAATCGCGTACCAGGTCTTAAAAGTACTTCCACCTTCTCATACCAGGTACAGAAACCGCTTTCAAAGTATTTTCTGTTCAACGTAACGATTCGAATACTTGTTTCCTTGCAAATTTAAACCTTATTGCCGTATACACAACTGACCATACGTCCCGTTTTGAACGGGACTGTCCCTTTTCTCGGACAGCTGTCCCTTTGTCCCGAACAAATCTTCGGGATGCAAAATTGTCCCGTTTTCCGAAACCGCGTGCAATTTAAAACCACGCTCGTCAGACATGATCATGAGCAGCGCGGAACCGCGATCGGTTATTCCCCGCATGTTTTTCTTATTTCTTTCAATAGGCTAGCCACGCCACTTGACTTCTTTATGTTTTTGTGTAATGTTCGTTAAATAGTTTTGTTGATAATTTGAAGTTTTATTGTTTTGAAATTTTTCCTATAGTTATGGCGAAACCCAAGTGTTACCAAATACCCATTTATTGAGCAAATTAACAATCCTTCGGATGTCAGATGCGAAAAGTGTCGCACTGTTTAGTGTTTCCCATTGTGGTGCTGGTGATATTGAACAGCTCCAGTTCTGAAGGCAATGTTGATAACAAAGGCAACATACAACGTAAAAGATGTAAGGCCAAATCCTATGTCTGATATGAATATTTTATGTATTCTAATCATATTTTTTTTAATATTGTTTTGATTTTATTCTTAACATATTCATTTAAAATGATTTATATTATTTTTAATGTCCTTGACCATTTTGACGGAAATGGTTTATTTTATCAGATAATTATTTTGCCTTTACCTATAATATAAAAAAATCGTTATTTTAAATTAAGAAATTGTTGTTTGAATTTAATAAATTTTAGTGGGTTTTCGAATTGCTTTAGGAGTATTATTTTTGAACAGTTGGTAACACTGCATTTGATTCGTTCCACGTTCGAGTTCGATCGACAGTAATACTTACTTCGAAGGGCTCGTATACTTTAAAGGAAGAATACTTTCAAGTCTTGCAAGTATATCGGTCGGTACCTGGTCGGTATACTTGCAAGGACATACCTGGTATCAATACCTGGTAACGTAAATACGCACCATGTCTATCGGTTATACCACGTAGGTTAGGTACTCACTTCTAGGTTTACACTCCTGTACAAAATTATCCAAGAACTGTCAAAATATACTGTAAGAAGATCTTTCGCGATGCAGGCCGGACCTCTAATCACAAGATAATTATATTAATTTGTTTGATGTCATAGCCAAATGTACACTAATACCATATCAAATTTACTCCTTTCTTTTTTGGAAAAATAATAACTATCGATAGATTAAATGTATGTTTCGTATGTCGATGAATAAATTAGATTTTTTACTTCCAACGGTAGATCAAGTTCCTTACGCCAAAAAGACTGAGCTATCATCAACGCCGGTATTCTGAAGCTTTATTACCGACCTGTCGTACTTGGTGTCAGAACATACAGTGAAGCACGGTGGTAGGGCCACGCAGCGGCCTCGGCTGTTGCACAAATGGGCAGGCTCGTCCGGGTAAGTACCAGTGCCTCACAGAAGACCGGCGTAAAGTGGAAATATAATAGTTTCGCGTTTCGTCTGGTGAGTGAGGTGGCCGGAGCCCAATTTTCAAAAGGCTGTCTACGCACCTGGAACCCTCGAGCGTGGCAGATGTCCATGGGCGGCGGTATTCACTTAACATCAGGTGAACCGTCTGCTCGCTTGGCAACTTATCACATCAAAAAACAAAAAAAAACAAGAAAGGTACATGACCTACCTCTGCCCAGAAGCAGACGATGAGTGAAGAACCCGACAGCAGTAGCGGGTAGTAAGCCGAGAGCAAGGTGGTAGCCCATCCCTCTTGGAAGGCCGACTGCAACAGATAATATTCCACGTTTTCATAGGAGCGAAATAATCATTAAATAAATAAATATTTTTGGACACATTTTTCCACGACGTTCTCTAGTCCCAAACTAAGCAGCGCTTGTACTACGGGTACTACATAACTGATAATACCTTTCTTTTGTAAATAAATACATATAATACATATATAAACACTCAGACACCCCAACAAAACAGTATGTTCATCACACAATATTATTCCAATAGTGGGAATCGAACGGACACTCTCTGGCGCAAGAGACAGGTTCACTAGCCACTACGCCAATCGGTCGTCGAGCGATATAAATGTAATCATACAAAATTAAAAAAAAAAATGCTTAAAATCCATACTTGATTGTGATATATTATTTATTTTTAACTTGAGAATTTGGCAAACTACATCCACCTGATGTGATCTCTGCTGGTTTACTACACATGACGGATTGCCTGAGCATACGTGTTACAACAGAAGCTGTTATGTAGGAAGTAATATTCTTTTAAAATGCAATGTGCATTTGTAATTATGAGAAAATTTAGACACAAAGAAAATTTAGGCCCAACAGAGATATACAGCGTGTCTTAACAATCGCGACAATAAATGAACACACGTCAATAAATGAATAAACGTTAAAAAAATTCATAACTAAAATAAAATATTTTGCAAACAAACTAATTAAATAAAAAAAGTAACAAAGTTTGTAACGACCCTATACAACTGCTACTAACTGATTCATACATTCAGAGACTTTTTCATTCGTTACCACATAGTGTAAGATTGTATTTAGCAAAAAAAAAATGTACTATAGGACGACCCCCGACCGACTAGATGGAGTGACGACCTACATTGGTACAGGAAGATGATGGTGGCTCAGGATCGTGCTTCGTGGCAGTCTGTGGGGGAGCCTTATGTTCTGCAGTGCACTCTTAACGAATAAAATGATGATGATTGTGATGATGTTGATGATTATGGCGATGACGACGATGAAGACGATGATGATGATGATGGTGAAACAAAAAAAAACGAAGTCTCACCGGCGACACGAAGTAGGCGCCGCGTATGAGGGACGCTAGGAACGCGACCAGGTAGAGCATCTTCTGCGTGGTGACCTTGCAGGCGCGCAGGAAGCTGGGCGCCTTCAGGCGGCGGTACTCCGTCACCACGCACACGGTGAGCTGGACGGCGCACACGAACGCGACCACGAGGAATACGCCCCCGATGCCTGTGACCAACGATAATATATAATTATTACATTGATATACATGATATTATATATTACGGTGGAAGGGCCACGCAGCAGCCTCGTCTGTTGCACGAATGAGTAGGCAGTAAGGTTGTCCGAGTAAGAACCACGACCTCACAGAAGACCGGCGTGAAGTGGTAGTATGATACTTCCGCGCCTCGTCTGGTGAGTGAGGTGGCCGAAGCCCAATTTTCATAAGGTTGTCAACGCATCTGGAACCCTCGTGTGTAGCAGATGTCCATGGGCGGCGGTATTCGCTCACACCAGGTGAACCGTGTGCTCGCTTGGCAACTTCTCGCATAAAAAATACAAATACGAGATCGATATTACACTGGCGCACGGAAACTGAGGCGCTGAAACTACGCCATTTGGTGTAATTAGAATGCAACTCTATATATCTCTTTCCGTATTATACATTCTATTTCATCTATCAAATTCACTTATATTTATCGTATAACGTAAAGTGGAGCAATTTTCAACCGACTTCGAAAAAGAGGAAGGTTCCCAATTCGACTGTCAGTTCAGAACTTTCGACTGCGTGGACCGAATTTGACGATTCTTTTTTTATTAGAAAGCTGGTACTTCCCATGTGGTTCCATATTAATTTCATTGGTATTGGATCTTGGATACTTAGGGAACTCCTGAAAACCAATTATAAAATGAGTACAGGGCGAGTTATTTAAAGTGGGTTTTGTTTTTCGTTAGTTAAAAAATAAATTTGTTAGACGATGCGCAATATGGATATGCGTCGTCTTTATCAAATCATCATTGAACGGGCCGTGTACTCACCGGCGTGGTGGGAGCTCGAAGAGAAGATGAAAAGACTAGTAAGAAAAAGCGAGTGTTGTCCACAGAGATGGGGCTACAAAACTCAGCAAGAACACGACTCTGGTCTGCCATCGTAGTAGCGTTGTAGAGTCACCATGGCTGGACTTATACTACGGATGGGCACGCTTAGGTGCCGTGTACTCACAGGCGTGGTACACGGATGTTGGGAGGAACACGAGAAGCACTTTTGTAAAGACTAGAAAAAAGAAGCGAGAGTTGTACACAGAGATGGCGACGGTGGTTTGAAACGGTAGTAGCGTTGTAAAGTCATCGCTCATCGCTGAACTTATACTACGAATGGGCACGCTTAGGGGCCGTGTACTCACAGGCTTGGTGTTGTTATGAATTCGAGAAGTTGGGAAGCCTACAAAACTCAGCAAGAACACATGAAATCGTAGCAGCGTTGTCATATCATCGCTGGTCTTACACTACGAACGGGCCGTGTACTCACATGCGTGGTACGGCATGTTGGGGCGGGCGCACTCGTCGCCCGCGTACCGTATCTCGCAGAGGCAGGTGCCGTTCATGCAGTCGCCGCGGCCGTTGCAGCCGAGCGCGCAGCCCGCGTCGCGCGCCGCCGCCGACATCACGTCCGCGTAGTAAGCGATTAGGGATCGCATCTTAGGCGACGCGCCCAGCGCCAAGCGCCGACGCTGCGGACAGGAGGGGAGACACGTTGAATGACACGCGCGTATAAATAAATAACTGACGACCCGATTGGCACGGTGGGAAGTGAGCCTGACTCTTGCGTAGGTGTAGGTTCGATCCCCGCTACTGGAAAAGTATTGTGTGATGAACATAGTGCTTTTCCGGTGTCCGGGTGTTTATATATGATATTTATTTATTTACAAAAGAAAACTATATTTAATTGTGTTTATCAATCTGTTACCCATTGCGTCTACAACAAGCGTTGCTTAGCTTGCGACTAGAGAATTTTGTGTAAATATGTATCCTAAACTATTATTATTATTATTACAATTACTGTCATCTTCATCGATGTCGTCTACATCGGTGCCGTATTTACCGATTGCATACAATGGAAGTATAAGATGGTAAATAAAAAAGGGAAATTCCCTGTGTAGGTAATTCTTCTAGGTAAATAGATGACTCCGTAGCTTAGTTGCCAAGTTATGAGCTTTCGACCCAGGGGTCGATTCCCACACGGGACAATTGTTTGTGTGACCCACAAATAATTTGTTTCGGATCTGGGAGTACCGTGTATTTCCACGTGAAATTTATGTTTGTATAACGTTTTTACCACACGTAAAAATGTTATTCTAATCTACAGTAAGGGCAATGTTAATAAGAAGAAAGAAAAATGTAGGAATACAATGGTCAATGAAAACGGAAAATACTGGCTGTATCTAATCAGCCGAGGTAAATTTCTCTAGCCGAACGAAAAACGTCAACTGCGTTTATTGCGTGTTTATCGCATGCTTTTTCGCATTTATTATTTCACCATTGGGCGTTCCACCTTCGTAATTACATAGTAAACAATACACGGTATCATAGAGAAAATAATTCACATTTATACATATAAACCTTCCCCTTGAATCAATCTATGTAGTAAAAAAAAAATAAGATCCGTTGCGTAGTTTCAAAGATCTAAGCAAACATAGGGACAGACAGAGCGGGACCACTTTGTTTTATAATATGTAGTGATAAAACTATAAAAGGCCAAATATGTTTTTGAACAAGAATAAGATCTATTGATTGAAAAACCTTGCGCTGCATTAAAAATCTGTTGGTTCCTAATTTCAACTTTTTTTTTAAATAGGTATTTGATATTCATACATTTATATGTTTACTTGTCGTGATTTTGGATAGTAGATTTTGAGGTTAAAAGTATTTGAAACAAGTCGAATTTAAAAGGAAACATTTTGACCTTTACTTATAAAATCTGTCAACGCTATTATGCAACTTAAACTTACACGATAACGTATGCGCGGAATATGACGATAATGATATGAAAATATGAAATATGATGATATCAATGAAATGTTTTTGTTTTGATGTTTCGCGTGTATCGCAATATAAAAAAATAATTCTTAAGCGTATCTCTTGAATGGTAGATGTGGCTAATGGGATCACTTTCAAGCCAAAAAGACACTTAAGGACTGATAGGAAAACTATTTATTTCAACTTTAACATTTTGAACATATTTTTAACGAAACCTAATCATTATGATATTTATATAAAATACAAGAGTTATGTCAGATAGTTAGACATGTTACTTCTTTAAACGATTTTTACGGAATCATTCAAATATGACACAATTCAGTCTAACAACTAAAACAAATAAAACTAACATTCCGTATTTAATTTAAAGTAATTCAAACATAATACATAAACCAAACAGGTCAGAGTTAACAACCAAATGTATAATCAGAGATTACCAATCAACAGTATCAACGGCCTTTTTGATCCGTAATGCTGACCAATTAACAGCATATTTCGTTTGAGATAATAAAATACAAGATCAATGGCCCATGTGCGAACAAATTTGTATCCCTTAAAACCAAATGGACATTACCTAACATTCGATACGGTGAAAAAATTAACTTTTCATGTATTAAATATATTAGTTATTAAATAGAACTATTTTAAGCATTATATCACGTTTTAATTTTAATTAAAAAGTGTGATTTCCGCCCATACTTGCGTATTAAATAGAGGTTAGTAAATGTATACTTGAAAAAACGGGACTAGAAAGTGTAGTTATATGAAACAGTTTAAGAACAGATCGACGCCTATTGAAATCGATATGATAAAAGTTTGATAAGATAAAATTAAGAGATAGTGTTAACGCTATTTATTTACCTCGGGCAATGTTGTCGCAGAAAGTATAACAGCGGAGTTAGATATATCGAATTGTTATTAGTAGGGACCTTAATTCATTTTGATTTCGAAGGTACCACCTACTCGAGGCACGTTCTTTCAATTTAGCATTTTAAAATTCTCTAAGAGCAATCACTAAGTTCGGTATTTAACCACAGACTATGCGATATTGACAGGGCAAACGTGCGAATGCTTTGTTTTTTTTTTATTTTAGGCACTTAAATATGTCTGTCTGCACCGCTTCTCTATTCAATTCACTTCTCCATGTATCTCACACTCTTCCACACTATATCTTTATTAACGAATCCGAAATGTTAGCAGTACGTCTTAATACATAATATATGCATTAAAACACTAAAAAAGCTATAATAAAATACAAAAAAAATGTTCAATTAATGATAGATATTCAATTAAGTTGATGCACATAACATTACTGAGGTAGGGCCACGCTGTTATTCGCTGTTGCACGAACAAGCAGGGAAGTAGCACTACCTCATAAGGTTATACATACTTCTGCGTTTCGTCTGACGAGTAAAGAAACCGGAGCCCACTTTGGCAAAAGATGGCAATGCATCTGCAACCCTACGGGGGTTGCAAATATCCTTAACATCAGGCAACCGCCTGCTCGCTTGCCCTTTCTCAAATAAAAATAAATTTGTGCAATTCTTACTAAAACTAATTTAATAACACGTTACCTAACTAACACACCAATAACGCTAGCTAGATTTCCTAGCTGATTAGATGTTCTTAACTTGTACCACTAGGAAAATTACACTAATTAACACACTTAAGTATTAGTATAAGTGGTAGCACTTATACTAATGCTTATATTAATGAATAAACATAAAATGCCAAGTTTATTAGATAAATGGGAATAAACTTTTGGCCCTGCGGTATTAGAACCTCCTTCGACTTCCGGGTAACGGACGCGTTAAACCAACGGCCGTTGACTTCACGGAGAGAAAATTACAACATGAATACACATTATTTGATTTTTAGCAAGAACCAAAGGAGCATCAAGCATTGCTTAGTTTAGTTTCTTTATGTACAATTTACAATATGGAGCTTCTTCTGCATAGATCAGCAATCTTGAATTGTATAAAAACTCATACTCATACTCGGTCCGATAAACATCATTTTTGTAACATGGTTGTGTGTATATTCCTTACAGTCAAATAAAAGTGTTGTCTTTAAAAAGGACCCAAAGAGCGCCATCCTTGCAGTACGCAACACCACATGTGATGGTGACCCTACGGAACGTAGACCGTAGACCTAGATGTCTACACATCTATGTCTACGGTCTACGAAAATCATTGATATCACGTGTACCTCTTACTCGCTTACCACTTAGTGGTATAACTAAAAGTACCTACTCATATAAACGTGATGTACTAGTAATGACACCGCAGTGCGTTTTAGAAGGCGACATTGAAAATATTTATTAAAATTTTTATTGTTGACAATAAATTCTATTATCGCATTTGAAACTTATTGGAAATTTTTGACAAAAAAAAATTTAAACATAGATGGCTCGACAGTGCCAATAAATGATAACGAAGTATTGTAACATTATTATAACAATTTCACAATAAACAATAATGTTCAAACCACATGTGTGTAAAATAATTTCATTCTGAAGAAACTGAAAGAAAAATACAATTTTTTAAAAAAATATTTTATTTAAATTTCATCTAGTTTGCTGAGACAAGCAAATATAAAATCTTCTAAACAAACAAAGTGATTTCACAATCTGTGGTGCGCGGATCACGGAAAAAAGGCTATGGCTCTTGCCTAAGAAAAAAATATCTTGATATTTTCTTTTAATATATTTACGGAATAAACAACGATTTTAATAAGCACTCCTTAATCAGTGATGTTTGTTTTCTTGTGGTTGGAGAAATAGGGCAAACGGTATATATGTTAATATAATCACATGTTAATATGATCACAGCTTTTTGTGGTACCGCAAGGGCGCTCCCAGTTGTTGAATGAGGCGCCGTGGACACGTGCACTGCGCACTTTAAATATTATTGCTAGGGATATAGATTTATTCTTGTTCTCTGAGTGAATTCAAAAAGGTTGCATTGTTAATTTGTAGTGGATATAGTAAATAATTAGTTTGTAGTTTTTCTTTATGTTGTAGATTGCCGCACTATTGTATTAGGTTAAGTACCTGTAATAATAGTGTAAGGTTTTCGTTAATAAAGAAATAAATAAATAAATAAATAAATAATAAGCAATGCAGACAAAGTCTGGTATCAGCTAGTTTACTTTAGTTTGATAACTCCGTAGCTCAGATGCCAAGGTATTGTCTACGGCGCCGGGGATCGATTCTATTAACTTTTTGTCTGACTCACAGATAATTGTTTCCGATCTGGGTTGTTTGTCCATGTGAAATTTATTTACGTAAAACGTTCTTACAACACGGGATAATATAATCCTACAGTAAAGGCAAAAAAAGAGAAAAATAGAGCTAGTTAATCATGAACATTTAGTCGTGTTTTACTTTTTAATTTTAAACTACGATAAAAAACACTACTGCCGGTTTTAATCAATTATACATGTCTTTGCCAACGATACACATGTTTAATTTAGTACTGTTCACGATGTGTACAAAGTGCCATTTTAGTCCGCAATAAATCTCGACTCTAGCAACGTGCAACGTCAGTTCAACGCACTTTTAGTGTCAGTGTGGCGATTTCACGACAGTCGCGTCCTGGTATTGAAACGATATGATGCCGCTGGCGAGGTCACTCTGCGCCGGCGATTGCTAAACGAGTTC